AATAAGTACTACCAACCGAAGAACGCGGCATAACCCCTTCTCTCCAGCGGAAAACTAAAAAACACCGCGATGCGGGAAAAGTCGTTTTCCCGTGCATCGAGGATGCTTGGAAACATTATCTTTCCATTCAATGAGTACAAAAATAACTATTGCTGTTCTGTTTTTAGATCGGTAAGTAATTTTGACGTCGTCGTAATCATAGCAACTGGTAAATTCTACGTACTGTCATGGAAACACCCATGGTAAATAGTCAGAAATGATCGATCGCGCAAAAAAGTAATAAAATAGCCATGTTAGAAATCTCTAACGTCTACAGTCATTCATGGAACCTGTAATTTAGTGAACAATTTATCGCAAAAGCAAACATCCTATCTTCCAACTCCTAAAAACGTTTCCACTCCACCTGATATTTGTTATTTATATAAATATGGTGGGTTTGATTTGCGTTTTGCTTTGATTTCGATCAATATTTGACTGTTCGTTTGAGAAATGAATAAAGGTGGTCCTAAGATATCAAAAGAATGGTGCAATTTACAAGAACATAGAGGGGAAGGTGTTCTGCAAATATTGTAAGAGTCAACTTAGCCCAAAAATTGAAAGGATAAGAAAGCATTTCGAGAAATGTGGTCCTGTTCCTAAAAAAAAATGATCAAAGTCCTCGTGTGAGATCGAAGGGACTTCAGCGCATTTTTGTGTGGCAGGTCAGTGTTTTATTAGCCAATATTGACGCCACCATCAATAAGATCTTGCCGAAAGCTACCACGTTCACTTTGTCGGTACCATTTTCTCACTTACCGTGCACTTGCAATTCGCGTTTGAAGTTTTGACTCCACCATCAGTAAAATCCTTTGGGGGTTACCATATTCCCTTTGTCGACACCCACTTCTGATCACCCGCAACAATTCGGATTTGAAGTTTCGACTCCACCATCAGTAAGATCTCGTCGGGGGTTACCACATTCCCTTTGTCGATACACAGTTCCGACGTCCCGTTCATTCGTAATTCACATTTTGGTAGATTTCGCTAAAATCCCGGCATAAAATCGTATTCAACTTTTGGGTACTTCACATAGCTCGACCTTCTATTAGTGACACGAGAAAGAGAGACCGCGATTCGCGCTGTAAGAAACTTTTGGGCGCCCAAAGTCGACTACCCCTCGAAGCGCGCCGCGCAAAAGGTGGTTTATTTCGCCCCTAGGAAAAAAAACAAAATTCCGCCACGCAGGAGTTGTGCGCGTTGACAAGATCTTCCCGACGACACCAATTTGAAAACAATCGGAGAAAAACTGTAGAAGAAGATAGATAAAAACTGAAAAATCTCCAGGTTAGTATAATACGCTCGGGGATGGCGTCCAGATGTCGTCGACTCCAAATCTTGTAGCCCCATCCCTAACGTTCTTAATTACACGGCCCCGATAGTTACATGTACACTCCTTGTCTTTTTACAAGCGTTTTTCTACGGGCGCGCATTTACTGCCAGCCAGCCAGCCAGCCAGCCACCAGCCAGCCAGCCAGCCAGCCAGCCAAAGTGAGATTAAAAGCTACTTTTTACAAAAAAAAATTTTTGCAAAAATGCGCTAAAAACCTAGCTGAAGATCATACGGACGATGCGGATGCAATAGGTAATGAATTAATAATAGTCGCTCTGTGTCTGCGACATGGCAGTCTATTTTTACTAAATTTTTCTAGAATGCTCCGAGTCGGACTCTGACACGCAGGCTGAGCTAAGTTCTGATGCTGGAAGTGGTGTAACTTCAACTTCTACGAGTAAATGTCTTGGCCAGGGGAACAAAGTTAAATGACATGTCTAATTTTGTAATACACACTTCTCCAAAAGATGCAGAAACTTTTGATGAAGCAATTGCAGAGTTTTTTATGCTGCTAACATTGCATTTGAAAAAGCTCAACATCCGTGTTTCTTGAGAATGATTAATTTGTTAAAACCTGACCATAGACCACCAAACAGAAAGGCTTTATCTGGTAAGCTATTGGATCAAGTGTCCGAAAAAATTGAAAGATTAATCACTGCTGATCTGTCTGAGGGCGAGGGAAACAACAACATCAACAATAGTAGGCCGATTACATTACTGCAGGATGGTTGGTCAAGCGTAAGGAACGACCCCATTCTTGCTACCACAATCCACACTGGCAAGGAATCATACCTGTTATCAGTCCTCGATTGTGAAGCTAACAAAAAAGATGCAGATTATTGTTATCAAGTAGCATTGGACACCATTAAAGAATGTGAAGAAAAATACAAGAAAAAGGTGTTTGCCTTTTGCACAGACAATGAGAAGAAGATGGAAAAAATGCGCGGAAAGCTGAATGAAAGATATCCAGAACTCGTTACCTATGGCTGTTTAGCTCATTACGTGAATTTGATGGAAAATGAGATTACTCCGAAGACAGTGTTGAAACATGTAGTTAACATACAGAAGTTCTTCAGAAACCATCATAAACCCCACGGATGGTTGAAAACAAAACCGAACTCTAAAATGCCCCAGATACCAAACGACACTAGATGGAATTCCCAGATCGACTGCATCAATACATTCGTTAATTACTATCTCATTTACAGAGATATTTTAACTGAAAATGAAGATTACTTCAACCAAGGTGATGCTAAAGATATCAAAGATAAAATCAACCATATCGGAATATATGCAAGTGCCATATAAATGCAAAGGCAACTACGTTCTGTGGGAAAGTCGCTTGATGTTTTGCAGAGTGATACAGTAACTTTATCCGAAGCTACCGACGTATGGATATCGTTACTCAACAACGAATTTTTGTTACCATATCGCGACATTGTTCAAAAAAGGTTTGACCAAGCTGTTACCAAATACCACCTACTAGCTTATACTATGGATCCTAAGTTTTCTGGAGAAAACTTGACACCTAAACAAGAAAGAAGCGTTGAGGAGTTTGTATCCGAAAAATTTCCGGATGAATACTTAATATACTTGCTTTCCTTCAAAGTTAAAGATGATACTTATCCTTCAATCATATTGAAAGAGACTGTAGTGAAGAAGTTAAACGGCCACAAGTGGTGGAACATCGTGAAAGATAAAATTTCGAAACAGTTAGCTCCAGCCAAGGGTGAAGACGAAGCACAGAAGCAACACAGGGACAAGCTCTTAGAGTTTTGTACATTCATCTCCAATTTGCTGAGCTGTCCAGCTAGTTCAGCAGCTATTGAACGTGTATTTTCCACTTTTGGAAATATTTGGAGCAAATTACGCAACAAACTCAGCTATGTAAAGGCAGCAAAGTTGGTAAAAATTTACAGATACTTTGCTGTGAAGAAATAATATCGAGGCAAATTCGACTTGAAATGAAATTCATTTTTTTTTTCTTTCGTTCATTCTTCCTAGTATGTTCCTTACACGCATGCAACGCAATTATTATGGAATATAGGCATGAACAATACAAAAATTATATTTTATTTGTTATTATTTTATTAGTTAGTTATTTGAATTTTGGAATCAGAAAAACAGTTTAAAAGTATGATAGGTATTTGTTCTCTATTTATTCTTCGTTGCCTTTTATACTTTATTTGAATAAAAACAATCAAATTAATTCTTTTCTTATTCCCAATAAATCCAATTTCTGCCTAGCCAGTCTAAGCCAGTGTTATGTGTCTTTTCTTTTAGCCACCCGATACCAGACTTCAAAATCGAATTTTCGGTTTTCTGCTGCATCTTTTTCAACGGAGCTGGGCCAGGGTAGGTATTTGAGTTCTGTTGTAACCACCTGGGTGTTACCTGGGCTTTTCCCTTTAGTTGAAACCGGTTTGGGCAAAAATTGGCCATCTCTAATTTAAACACCTGTATTTATCGGCGAAACCTGCTTATCTTCAAACTTAATCAGCTTTACGTAGCGATAAAAAACTCGCAATGACCGGAGAAACTTAATAACAATGTAATTATTTACAGATCGAAACATGATCGAAATTGTGTTCATTTTAAATTAGCGATCATATTTAACGTAAAAAATAAATTAAATTAAACACATACAGGGTGATAGAACATTACCGTAGGTGCTGATACGAAATAAACTGTTTTAAACGAGTTAGTCCCTTGACCATCGTCTACCTATTATTGGAAACAGAATTAGAAAATTCGGAACCGTTCTAGTTCAAAATCATGAACGAACTTGTCGCTCGTTAATAAGTTCATTTATACACGGTGTTACAAAATATAAGTATGTATGTAAAAAAAAATGGATGGTATAGAGGAGATCAAAACAAGCACTTTTTTCAAATAAACTGAGGGCCCAACGTGTTGCGTTTGGGAACCACCCTAAAAGTGGTGAAATTTGCATTTCTTCTTTAATTTTTTTCTCGGCCCTAAGAGTTACAAAGACGGGTGGCACGTCTTGAATAGGCGCAATATTGAAAATGCATTCAGCAAAGTATAAAAGGAGGATTGGTTGACTAACTCCTTCAAACACAAAAAATGCCGCCAGCTGGAGTCAACTTATGCCATACAAAGATCTTTTACGACGAAGGAATTAACCATCACACGCCATGCAGGTCGATGCTGCTATTCTTCTGTAAAGTTGTCTATCCCCTCAATGTTTACACTAAGAATGCGCCGAAGTCAGCCCACTAATTCCTAAAACACGCTGACTATACAAGAGCGGACTGGGTGGAATGGAATCAGTGAGGTTGAAAAGATCTTAGGCAACCACCAATTAAATAACCGCCCATCTATCAACACCATTCATTTCCCCAAAACGTGAGGTTACCATCGACACACGAGCACCGTACTGGTACCATGCCAAGCGAATGCTAGCGAAGGTTATTTGAGTTTGGGAACACACACTGATGGCTGTTTCTGCCTTAGCTACTGAAGATCAAAATCGGATTGAAAAAATCATACATCACAGTGTACGAATTTGCAACTTGGATGACGTACGCATCATCAGTTCAAGAACCCCGTGGACAATGAGGTTATAAGGAAAGGACCTCGTTAAGGCCGAAAAAATTTGCAACTTGCTAGATCGCATTCAAAATTCGGCACGTTCTAGTAGGTTAAGGAAAAAATTGAAAAAAAATCGCCATAGTTACTTGCATAAATATTTGCAATATACTCACAATTTACATTTCGCTATAATTTTACATTTTCTGCTAAACAAGATGGTAAGAAAAAGGTTAAATGAGAAATTTCCACTTCATTTACAATCAAATTATTGTAGCGTGAAGTGATTTCCGTCCATGTCGGTCAAGGTGGAGTCCAGATTGGGAACGCATGCTGGGAGCTGTATTGCTTGGAGCATGGAATTCAACCTGACGGCCAGATGCCATCCGATAAGACTGTTGGAGGAGGTGACGACAGCTTCAATACGTTTTTCAGTGAGACGGGAGCGGGTAAGCATGTGCCTCGAGCAGTAATGGTCGATTTGGAGCCGACGGTCGTTGATGAAGTGCGAACCGGTACGTACCGACAACTGTTTCATCCTGAGCAACTGATTACCGGAAAAGAAGACGCGGCAAATAACTACGCGCGTGGACACTACACAGTCGGCAAAGAAATCGTGGATCTAGTGCTGGATCGATTAAGAAAGTTAGCAGATCAGTGCACGGGAATGCAAGGATTTCTAATTTTTCACTCCTTCGGTGGAGGAACGGGTTCCGGTTTCACGTCGCTGCTCATGGAACGCTTGTCGGTCGATTACGGGAAAAAATCCAAGCTGGAATTTGCCATTTATCCCTCGCCGCAAATCTCCACAGCTGTCGTCGAGCCTTATAACGCCATACTCACCACTCACACAACGCTGGAACACTCAGACTGCGCATTCATGGTGGATAACGAAGCAATTTACGATGTCTGTCGAAGAAATTTGGACATCGAACGTCCCACGTACACCAACCTAAATAGATTGTTGGGCCAAATTGTCAGCTCGATTACCGCTTCCTTGCGTTTCGACGGCGCTTTAAATGTCGACTTGACAGAATTTCAAACAAATCTTGTACCTTACCCCAGAATTCACTTTCCACTCGCTACCTATGCTCCCGTAATTTCGGCGGAAAAGGCGTACCACGAACAGCTAACCGTCGCCGAACTTACCAACGCGTGCTTCGAACCCGCGAATCAAATGGTAAAATGCGACCCAAGGCACGGCAAGTACATGGCGTGCTGCGTACTGTATCGAGGCGACGTCGTTCCCAAGGATGTCAATGCCGCAATCGGTACGATTAAAACCAAGCGAACAATTCAGTTTGTCGACTGGTGTCCGACCGGTTTCAAAGTGGGAATTAATTATCAACCTCCGACGGTTGTGCCGGGAGGCGACTTGGCAAAGGTACAGAGGGCAATATGCATGATGTCCAATACTACGGCAATTGCGGAAGCTTGGGCGAGACTCGATCATAAGTTTGATTTGATGTATGCCAAAAGAGCCTTCGTCCATTGGTACGTCGGTGAAGGTATGGAGGAGGGCGAATTTTCAGAAGCTCGAGAGGACACTGCGGCTTTAGAGAAGGATTACGAAGAAGTTGGTATGGATTCTGGGGAGGGAGAAGGAGAGGGCGGAGAAGATTTCTAATTTTACATTTGTTATTATTATTAGGTCAATATTGTTTATGAATACAAGTATCTCTAAACATGAACATGTAGGTTTTTTAAATAGATTATTATAATTGTTTCCAGTAAGATATTCTTAGTATTTCAAAGACACATGTTAACAGTACGATTATGTCGCCGAGGAAGGAACTCATTCCTACGACTAATTCACTTGTCCAAAGATCTAGCTGCACTTTAGCAGTCTACCCACTTAGCAAATTTGGCCCTTTTACAGTTCATTTCGCATCTAGCTCCTATTGGTTCGTAGAGGGATTGTTTATTTCAGATTATTTTGGTTCTTGTGATTGTTTCTCCAGTCGAAATAGCTGTTAATTTTCAAATTCAGAATATACGAGTACATAGTCCAGTTAAATTATACATGAGAGGAGTGGTATCTGAAAGGCACATGGGGGAAGCTGGAAACGATTCTAAAATCTTAACATAGTCTTGAAAACGAATAATCTGATTTTGTAACGCTCGGGTTGAGCTTAACTTTTGGTGTCCAAAAAAACTTCGAAATTCGGGTGAATGACGACAAGTTTTATTCGTTTAAATATACCCCTTGACGGTCGTCTGTAGCATCCAAGGTACTGGTCCTATTAACATATTCTTGTACTCACAGTTGTAGAGAATTTAATGGCGAATTCAAAAAACCCCTAAATTTTAAGATTCGACAAAGTTGTACCATACTGCCATATGGCAAATTCTAAAAACAGTTTTGGAATATCCTAATAAATGTTAAAACTTTCTTTCTCATCGTGCTCAACCCCATCATCTTCCATCTCCTACATCAATTCGTTGGGGAGATCCTCCTTTTCTTCCCCCAATGTATAAGAGGAGGTGAATGCTTCTTCCTTAACAGGACCGTTGGAGTACGCTTTTCGACAGGTGCACCGCCCCCTGCACCCCATCCTACAATTGCAAAAGATGAAGTGAAGTACCTCGGTGGGGGCAGGTTCCTTTGAGGTGGTTATTGGGTCAAACCAGTCCTCGTTTTCTGCTCCTAATCAAGGGAGTCTTTTTCCCTTTCACGGAACATCTTGTATCGCAACTAATCAAGAGTCCCTGCCAGCGTATATTCTAACCAAGAACTTTCCCCCCGCACTGACCACCTCATTTTGGGATGCATCAAGGTTTTGAAAGCCTTGGACATCCCGCAACTGTCGATTGCTCTCCAGGGCTTTAACTAACTTCCTGTCGAAAAAGTGCCGATGTTTCAGTAGCGCTGGAGAGAACAAAGTGTTGGATGAGGGGCCCTTCCCTGGTTTCAGCAGGTAGATGTTGTTGCACGAGGAAGGTGCCAGTGCAATAAAAAGGATAAAGAGGCTGGGCTAATTTTGGATATTGTCACATTTTCAGACCGCTATTTTGTGTTCCTAGAATGCAATTTTGTGTGCCAGTTCAAGAAGCCACTACGATAGCTCTAGTGATGAAACAGAAGACTTAGTTGAGTCATAAGACTACAAAGGAATCCTGAAGTTTGGCTGACTAAGGACGAAATTTAATTCATAAACGCATTACCTGAAAAAATAAAACAAATTGGTGCTTGGAAACGACCAAATAAACATTTCATTCGATAAAAAGTTGTACTCGAGACAAGAAGCATGGTAAGTTTAATCAGTTTTTACTCTTCGAATTTTACATACAATTCTATTTTTCAGCGTGAAGTCATTTCGATTCACTTAGGACAAGCCGGTGTGCAAATAGGAAATGCGTGTTGGGAGTTGTACTGCCTGGAGCACGGCATTCAACCTGATGGGCAGATGCCTTCCGATAAAACCGTGGGTGGAGGTGACGATAGCTTTAATACCTTCTTTAATGAAACGGGAGCTGGAAAACATGTCCCCAGAGCGGTGATGTGCGATTTGGAACCGACGGTAGTTGACGAGGTACGCACTGGAACCTACAGGCAGCTATTTCACCCCGAGCAACTGATCACGGGAAAGGAAGATGCTGCGAATAACTACGCCCGTGGGCACTATACCGTCGGAAAAGAAATCATCGACTTGGTTCTGGATCGAGTGCGTAAATTGGCCGATCAGTGCACGGGAATGCAAGGTTTTCTCATCTTCCACTCGTTTGGAGGCGGAACAGGGTCAGGATTCACTTCGCTGCTCATGGAACGATTGTCGGTCGACTATGGGAAGAAATCCAAGCTGGAGTTCGCCGTGTATCCCGCACCCCAAATATCGACAGCGGTAGTCGAACCTTACAACTCAATTTTAACAACCCACACGACTCTGGAACATTCGGACTGTGCATTTATGGTGGACAATGAAGCGATCTACGACGTCTGTCGCAGAAACTTGGACATCGAGCGACCCACATACACCAATTTGAATCGGTTACTGGGACAAATCGTGAGTTCGATCACTGCTTCGCTTCGCTTTGACGGTGCTTTAAACGTCGATTTGACCGAATTTCAAACAAACCTGGTCCCGTACGCTCGCATTCATTTCCCTTTGGCCACTTACGCACCTGTTATCTCCGCCGAGAAAGCTTACCACGAACAACTTACGGTAGCCGATCTTACGAACGCATGTTTTGAACCCGCGAATCAAATGGTCAAATGTGATCCGCGCCACGGAAAGTATATGGCTTGCTGTCTGCTATTTAGAGGTGATGTCGTTCCCAAAGATGTTAACGCCGCAATCGGTACTATCAAGACGAAGAGGACTATTCAATTTGTAGATTGGTGTCCTACCGGATTTAAGGTGGGAATCAACTATCAACCGCCGACAGTGGTACCCGGAGGGGATTTGGCAAAAGTGCAGCGTGCTGTGTGTATGCTGTCAAACACGACAGCGATCGCAGAAGCTTGGGCGCGTTTGGATCACAAGTTCGATCTCATGTACGCCAAACGAGCCTTTGTCCATTGGTACGTTGGAGAGGGAATGGAAGAAGGCGAATTTTCTGAGGCACGAGAGGACACTGCTGCATTGGAAAAAGACTATGAAGAAGTTGGCATGGATTCCGGTGTGGGAGAAGAAGGAGAAGATTATTAAAGTTGCTAATCGGTTGAATAATTTAAGTTTGTTTCTAAGCGTGCATTCGCAATAGATGTGTTTAGTTCCTGCATTAAGTTAAATAAATAATGATTATCACAAATTTGTAAGAATGGCAATAATTTGCATAATCCGTATGCGATTCTAAATTTATACAGCAACTGGTTGCAATGTGTATGTGGGTGGAATTAAAATGTAGGCGATATCTTCTACAGCGATCACGCATGTTGCCGTTTCTAGACTAGCACAACGTTTTCTGTAACACCTTCATTAACAAATCTATATCGTTTGTTACGTGCATCTCTGAGAGCTAAATTGTAGGAAAGCTGGTAGACGTGTTTAGGTAGGTATTTGAGGCACGCTTGTCCAATTCTTCTCCAATAATACTCAAACACAGAATTGTAGACCTGGTTGAGAAGTAGCGAGGCTAAATCAACTCTTATGTTTTTAAAGATGCGAATTTTGAAAAAATGTTCATTGAGGCATTTTCCAAATTTTTACATCTTTGAATTAACATATAAAGAGCGAAAAAATGAATAAGATCAATTAGCGGGGTCCTCCAAAGTTTGAAAAAATGTATACCGACTGGCCGCCATAAATATATACATGAAGACCTTGACAAGATATATTACATTTACAGATGCAGGTCGGCGATAGAAATACTTTGCTACTAGTAGTAGGTATAATTTAGTTCCACCCAATCGAATTAATCCGCTTTGCTGTTTTTCCAACAGAACTGGTCAATAAATTTAAAAAACAAGTACAAATTGTGCACAGCCCTTGTGCAGGTAAGCGCATTTTTTTTAAACACCCCTACGAAATTTCTTCCATAAATAAGAAAGATGGCACTGCGCATGCGCAAAACCAAATTTCGAAACTGGTGTTAAATTTTCTTTTATTCCAAGTGGCTATGTACCAGACTTCATTTAAATCCCTCCATAAATAAGAAAGTTGGCACTGCGCATGCGCAAAACCAAATTTAGAAAATGACGCTACATTTGCTTTTATTACAAGTGGCTATGTTCAAATTTTATTTAAATGCCCAATGGTTATATTTCTTCCAAACGTCCCAATCGCCCTTTGAAGGTACTTTCCTTTGACAATTCACTCTTAAGATATAAGGAATTATAACCGATCACGACAAGGGATCGAGGAAGAAGACTATGGTTAGTATAAATTAATTCCTTTCGTCGAGACCTTTCATTAGAGTACCATGAAGCTCCACTCCCCCTCCCCTTCCCCCTCCGCCCCGTACTTTGATAAGAGAATCCACCCCGTACTTTGATAAGAGGAGAAAAAGAAGGGCAGTAGTTTGTAGAAAACTGTTCCTTTCGTTGAGACCTTTAATTAGAATACAATGAGAGATAAAATTAGTTTTTAACCCTCTCCCCTCAGGCCCTGTCGCTCACTGATCTCAGAAAAGAGTCGCACGGGAAAGTTATAGTTTGTACAAACCAATTTATTTCGATGAGACCTTTCATTAGAATACCATGACCTATGAAGGATAGAACATGTGCCCCCCCCCCCATTTTCAAAAGTTTAATTTGGCACAACTAAAGGCATGCGGATGCAAAATCTGAGACCAATTGGTTGTCGTATGTAAAAGTTATGCACGTTGTACTTTCAAAAACAACATATCAGGAAATAATTCGTGGGGGGGCCCCCCCTTTTAGACAGCGAAATTTCATGGCCGTCTGGCACACCTTCAAGGTATAGGCTACTTACTGCAAAAAATTCCAGGACTCTAGGACCATTCCCCTAGAAGAAGTTCAAAACGGTAGAAGTGGGTCCGGGCGGGCGGACCAACCGCAAACAATAGCACATTTTTTTTCATTCTTAAAAAATGCACTAAAAATTGGTTCCTTTGTCTACAAAAAAATTTACACATACCATAAGAACATTTCAGAGAAATAAACAAGTCGAAACGTCGATTTGTAGAAAAACGTTTTCAATCTGCCATTTTTTGAAAAAAAAAATATATATGGGTTAAAACACTTAGAAGATGTATGCCACCTCAGACATTCGTACGTAATAATGGCCTAACTTGAAAGTCTTGAGGTGGCAATTGCTGCTGGAGTTGGATCTTAAACGGATGGAACTTACTTTTGAAGAGTACGCACACTAATTTCAGGGTTGTCAACAGCTGCCCCAAGAAGAGAGGGGGGTGGAGTTCGAAAAAATCACGAAATATTACAAGAGGGTGTTGAGAGATAATTAGGTGTATTTATTTTTCGCGCAAACCTGCAACATGTCTTGACATTTTTATCGCGGACCTTAATTTTCCAAAATTAAATTAGATCATACGTACTTACCTGTATTTAAAGATAATATTCTGGAAATGTTTAAATTACTACTAAAAAAAGTTCAGGTGATTTTGGATAGAGGAGAGGGGTGGGGGTTAGTTTGCACGTGATTAATGGACCACCCACAAATAAAAATGGATATGTATGAAGTGGCGGATTTAAATTTTTTGCGCCCCTAGGCACACCGAAACATATGCGCCCCAAAATAATCTTTAAATTGCAATAAATTTTAAAATAAAAATCAATTTATAACATGAAATTTTGAAAGCTAATATGAAAAGAAACTATCTACTAATTCCAATTTATTTCATAATTTTAATTAAACATTTTTGTCATTAGTAACTTGTTAGGGGACTTCTTTTAAAACTTAAAATGATACCTAAAAAAATATATATATAGTGCAAAAAAATACGATTACGCCAAAACTTTGGGAAATGGTTTGAGATGTATGTCCGCAAAGGTTTTTATATAAATAAATCGGTATTAAGTTCGAGGTGACCGAACGTATTGCCCCCCCCCCCCCCCCCAGAAAACATTCACTCATAGACGGTAGGTAGTTCACCGAGCATTATTCTTCAAGAAAACGAGATTTCCCAAAGGCGTTACGAAGTTCGTCGGGTCTGCTAGTTGATAAAATTCACATAATATAGTTATTTATAGTAGAAGCGGGTTATTTTAGAAATTACCTGGTTAAACTACGAGGCTTGTTGATATACAAAGAAATTCGTAATTCAATATTTAGAAAACCTATATGAAATCTAGCATGTCGTGTGCTATGTCACACCCAAAAGACTTATATGAACCTGTTTCGTTTTTAAAATTAACTTGATAAAAAGTCTTCTGAAGGACGCCTAACTTTATGCAACCAAAATAACAAAAATAGCAAGCTTAGGTTATCCCGTTGTTTCCATGAGAATAATATTGTATTCTGTTCTGAACTTTATTTTATTTCGTGCTTCGCTTCCCATTTGAAATAATAATGACAGATGTTATTAGAATATACCTCGGAACATACAATAAAGCGTTATAGAGCGTCTTTGCCTACTCATTCAAATTCTATTAAAATGTCAATTTAACATCTGCTATACCTAAACTAAAAATATTGGCACAATAACTCCAATTAAATTATTTAAATTTATCCCATTACTAGCACGGATCTATGCCGGTAGATTGAACAACGTTGACGGCAAACGAGTTCAACCTGAAAAAGGTCGCTAAACTCCCCGAAATATCTCCCGCAGTGATTTATTAACATAATCTATTTGTGCATTAAGCTTAATAGACGAGAATACAATCGTTTGCCGTTTATTCATTTATTAATTGTTAGTATGAGAATTATGTTCTAGTGTTATAATGAATTAATAAATCTAATAATACCTTCAATCGATAGGCTCATAATCTTCAACACCTACTCTTACCTGAAACAAGAAATATGCATTAGTAAAAGTACAAAATATATCACAAGGCGCATCCTTCCATCGATATACCGAACATTTTGGAACTTATAAAATCCCTAGTTAAACAATTTGAATAAAACATAATACAATGTCGTTTGGTCCTGTATACTTTGTATGAACTTAAATTCGGCCATCTCCATATTATTAAAATTGGATATTCCCGAGGATATTCCCTATTCCCTTTCTTGCATCTAATCCCTATTTGCCACTGCATAAACTAATCAGTACTTAACGCTTATGTCGATCTAAACATCTATGACAAACATGTTCGGTTAATTTTAATCTCTGCTTAAATTTGACAGTACACATTTTTCGTCTCCCTCTAGAAATTCATTGCCAACTCACAGGTTGAACGCAAAAATTGCTACTAATATTCAACGTAATCCTAAAAAATCTGCAATAAAAATACTGCTTTAGGCATGAATGGTGTCATCCCGCCTTCATTTTTTATTTCTAATCCACAAAGTACATTAAAAATAAAAAGACCCGTGTGTCCTCAATTTTTACTTGCGAGTAAAATAAACCCAAAATAAATTATTGAAAAGCTGTGTTTTTAGTCCGAATTTGAAACGCTTCAGACTAAATACGTCACAAACCTACAACCAATCACGTAGAAGTGAGCTGGCAACCTTACGCGAGGGTCTGACGTTTGTCACATTTGACGTTTTGAGAGGGATGTTTAACTGCATCTAGCACGAAAGTGACAAGTGCCTGTGACAGATGACGCAAGTTATAAATGCCATTCTCCTGCAATATTGCCAAGTCGTTATGCATCTGAATGGTTCTAGGAGCTGATTGGTCGGGCTTATTACGTCACAGAGCCCGCCACAATCATATCGTTTTGAATAAACCTTTAAAACCGCACATGTTCATTATTTTTTTGCTAATCAGCCTCTATTTTTAAATAAACTTTTACTGTCCAAAAAAAAATTTTATGGTTTCAGGTACACGCTTATTAAATTAGAACTGCGGAATTCAACTATACTGTAAACCCCCATTGAAGTACCTACAAGCGACCACATTGGTGAAGTTAATTTTTAATTAATTGACATGAACTGAAATTATAAGGAAAATGAGCAAATTGTTGAATATAGTTTGGAAAAATCCATTTATGTCTAATGGCACAGACATCCTGGATCTATAAGTAACTGAACATCAGTACCTAGTTGCCTTCGTGTCACGTTTTACACTTGAATAATCGCACAACATTTTTACTTAAAAGATTCGTACACGAACTCATAAAGAGATAATAACAGCATGAAATTAGTAATAAATATTCTACTAATCATAACTTCACACAGAAGAAACACGACCGTATATTATTTAAATAGTTAATTGCAAAC